TTATGGACCACCATGAGGAAATACAACATCAATGCCAACCTAGTCCGAGTGATCGAAGAGTTATACAACAAGGCCACTAGTGTAATTCTCTTGAATAACAGCAATGGCGACTGGTTCCGCACAACAGTAGGAGTACACCAGGGCTGTCTGCTTTCTCCCACTCTCTCTAACATCTTCCTTGAAAGGATTATGGAAGATGCTCTCGATGATCACAAAGGCACAGTCTCCATCGGAGGAAGAACCGTCACAAATCTGCGATTCGCTGATGACATAGATGGCCTCGCAGGGAAGGAGGATGAGCTAACCAGCTTAGTGAATCGCCTTGACCAAGCACCTCTGCATATGACATGGAGATCAGTGCAGAAAAAAACAAAACTGATGACCAACAACGCTCAAGGCATCACCTCAAAAGTCAAGGTCAGTGGAACATGTGAAGACATTTGAGTACCTCGGTTCCATCATATCAGACGAAGGTTCCAAACCAGAAACTATGGCAAGGATTGCACAAACAACTGCGGCATTAGCAAAACTACAAAACATCTGGAGAGACAGGAATATTACTCTGGGCTTGAACATCCAACTAATGCGCTTCCTTGCTATATCGGTCTTCCTATATGCCTGTGAAACCTGGACTCTCACTGCAGAGCTAGAGAAGAGGATTGTGTGCACCGAGACAAAATGCTACAGGAAGATACTAGGCATCCATTACACAGACCATGTGAAAAACGAAGAGGTCCGCAGGACAGTCTTAGAAGCTATAGGACCTCACGATAACCTCCTCACTGTCGTCAAGAAGCGGAAACTAAGGTGGTATGGCTACGTTTCCCGCTCAAGTGGTCTTGCTAAGACAATCCTGCAAGGGACAGTGGAAGGAGGACGGAGACGAGGAAGACAAAAGAAGAGGTGGGAAGATAACATACTGAAATGGACAGGATTAAGCCTGGCAGAATTCCAGAGAGTGGCAGAAAGCAGAGAAATGTGGATGACAGTGGTGGATAAGTCTTCGAATTTGCCCCGACGACATCCACGGAAGTCAAGGGATAGGTGAGTGTTTGTCAAATATATATGCCAATTTTAACCAGAAGGCGTTCATTAGAAAGCAGAATAAACGCAATGTCTCAATAATTTCCGAACAGTCTTCGTACATGTGTAAAATTTAGAAATCCCAGCAAAACCTTTTTGTGTATCAATAATATTGAAATTGTGTGACTTCAAGAATCATACATTCTATACTGTACATCAGGAAACAAAAAAATGGTAAAATTCAGCTTTATTTAAAAAATAATAAGACTTGTTCAAGCATTAACTTCCGTAACATTACCATAAAATCAATGGTATATTGAAATTGATTCAAAAAGTTAACGATATCAGATTTGTGAACAATTCTTTTTTTTTCAAGTTCAGTGATATGTCCTTTAGGGAATTATTGTAGTAGTGTGGAATATATTTAATAAATAAATGTTTTAAATTAAATGTAAATAGATTAAACTACCATGATAGATAAACATAAATGTTGGATCCACCCCTTTATTTCCCTAGCCCTACCTGTAAACTTGTACACCTGTATATAGATAATTAGTTACCTTAGGGCAGGTCAGAGGTTTTGGTGTTTTATTGGTTTTCATTGGTAGTTCGTTTAAGAAGTTGGATCTTATTGGTTTTATTCTTTTGGTCATTGGTTTTACCGCCAAAAATATTCATTCTTTGTCTTGTTGAGTTATTGCCAAGACTTCATTTTATGGACTCTAATGACTTACACTTGGAGACTGATTTTTTCCTATCTCTGGTAAGTACTAACTTTTCTTTATTGCTAATAGTTAATTAACATGTCCAGTCTGTAAATATGCAATTATAATAAATCCCATTTACACTTCATATTAATTGAATGAATGATCATGAGAGAAAGATATTTATTTTTATGATTGGAATTATTGATTTTGAAAATCAGTAATGTTATATATTGAAAGTGTAGTTGTTATGTTCAAGTTACGCTATATACTGTATATATACTTGTATATATACTATATACAAGAGTACTGTGCAACAATATATTCGAGAAGTGGTGTAAATCAGATGTGGATATTTAAAAATTCCAAGGAACTTTTGGAAAATTTGAAATCACAAGATTTTACCAAAATCAACAGCTTAAAAACTTACGACTTTTCAACTTTATACACAACCATTCCGCACGATAAATTAAAGTCCAGGCTTTTTGATATCATTGACAGCTGCTTTTTCAATAAAAATGGAACTCGTAAATATACTTACCTTGTCATTGGTCATTTGCAAAATTATTTTGTTAAAAAACATTCTGATTGTACACACAAGTACTCTGAAGTTGACATTAAAAAGATGCTTGAGTTTCTGATTGACAATATCTATGTGGTTTTTGGAGACCAGGTCTTCCAACAATCTATTGGAATTTCTATGGGTACCAATTGCGCCCCGTTATTAGCAGACCTTTTTTTGTATTCATATGAAGCAGAATTTGTCCAAAATCTTGTACGTGAAAAGAAGAAAACACTTGCTGTGGCGTTCAACTCGACATTTAGATATATCGACGACGTATTGTCAATTAACAATGGCTATTTTCATTCTTATGTCGATACGATATATCCTGGTGAACTTGAGATAAAAGATACCACAGAGTCTGACACATCTGTTTCATATTTGGATATTTTACTTGAAAAAGACGTTAAAGGTAATCTAACAACCAAGCTTTATGATAAACGTGATGACTTTAACTTTTCAATCGTCAACTTCCCTTACTTATGCAGCAATATACCTTCATCACCTGCATACGGGGTATATATCTCTCAGTTGATTCGATACGCAAGAGCATGCTCTACGTATGTACAATTCTAAAACGAGGTAAATTATTGACAAATAAGTTGATGAAACAAGAATATCAGCTGTCTCGTTTAAAGTCATCATTTCGTAAGTTGTATGGTCGATACAATGACCTTGTCAGCAAATACAATTTATCATTGAGTCAAATGCTGACTGACGTTTTTCATACTAATTGTTAGGCCATTATTTACACACTGAATTGTCGACGGATTTTTCTGTTATTTCCCGATCATGACAAGGAGCACACGGCGGGTGTGACCGGTCGGCAGGGGATGCTCACTCCTCCATGGCACCTGATCCCACCTCTGACGTTTGGAGGTCCGTGTTTGCTCTGCTCCTATTTTGTATTGTATAATGGACTTTTGAGCTTGAATACTGTTCGTTATCTCCATATATTTCATATCTTTATGACCCAGATATTTGGTTACTTTGTTCAAGTGAACAGATAATTTTAATTTTAATGGAATATATTTATTTTATATACTATGCATATATGTATATATGTATACTGTATTAAATTACAGAGTCCACATACATGTTTATGTCATCATACATTCATGTGGTAAAGCCTTTTCCCACAGAATGGTGAGGAACTATTTGTTTTAATTAGTAATATTTTTTTATGCCTTTATATGGGAGAAAATATGTAATGACTATGTATCAGTTGTAAGAGTTACCTCCCTTAATTGAGAGTCAATGTACATAAAGATACATCTTGTCTATAATATATGATTATCAATATGTTATCTATGAGAGCTAGATGTATATATAAATGATGCATTAATATGATTGATTTGATGTGATATAATATTGTTGTTTTATTATATTTCAGGGCTATGTTAATATTACATACTGCCCACTGTGTCAATAAAATTAGACCTGAACCCTGACAGAGGCGTGCGTGTTTATTCGTACACAAACCCCTATTACATGATGTACATAGAGGATATTCAATGTTTTTTAGTTGAATATAGAATTTATTTCACGAGTGGGACAGGATTTTTTTGATGTTTTCACAAGTGCGAAGCACGAGTGAAAATATCAAAAAATCCTGTCTCACGAGTGAAATAAAATCCATATTCATCTACAAAACATTGAATTTTCTGTTTATTAAATTTTCTTTGATTTTTACTTTGCCTCTGTCTTCTCATAACACAGTGTCATAGGCTTGACGTTATAGTTGAGCGGTTGAGATGTCATAGCTTAGCAGTTGTGGGATCATTGAAAACATTACATAGCATGGATTTTAGCAACATATTTGGGAAGAAATTTGCGGTTTTAGCTCTATTAAGATGCCTAGTTACTATCTCTATCTTATGACAGGCCAGAAATTATTTTTTACTTACTTTGATATCCTTTCACACTGTGAGAGAATATCATTTTGGTATCCTTTCACACTGTGAGAGAATATCACTTTTATTCAATAAATAAATCACAGTATTTCACTGTTGAAAATGTAATAAAAAGTGCTATTTGAAGCAATAAATTTTTTCATGTTTTATAAGTCGAATTGGTCCTTTTATCATAGAATGACTGATAAATTCCTGTAAAAATACAGAATCGTAATGTGATTCTGTTCTTTCTTTAAAAATTTGAATTGTTATTTTACGTATTTTTTTCCGCTGACTATAAAATAAATAGATACCATTTAATATATGGGAAATCTATATTTTCTCTAGATGTAAAAATTCTTCTCCTGCTGGCCATGATTTCACCAATCTTTGATATACATAATACTTGGTTTATTCTATAATAATTGACATATTTTTTTCTTACTCATTATTCTTTACAATGTTTTAAATAAATTTTCCATAATATCATGACACAATTACATGCTACTATCCTCACATTGTTCACTAAAAAAGATTGCTGAAATGTTAGACTCATGAAATATGTTCACACCACAATTGAGAATAAATTGTACAATTGCAAGTTATCGAAGTAAGCATGTCAGACTCTAAACTATTTTTTTTTTCATCAGATTATTTAAACAGTTGTATATTACACATTTTTCTCCAAGTTCAATTTTTAAAAGCAAGCTTTTTTTCTCTCACTTTTTTCATAAAAACTATAACATAATAAAACTATTACAAAATTAGAAAAAAACAATAATAATTATCTTGCTAAATCTCTCTCTCTCTCTCTCTCTCTCTCTCTCTCCATAACCAAAAATAATTTCATTTGATGTAATCCCTGCAGATCAAACGGAATTTTATCTATTCCTGGGCAAGACGTTTTGTTAAAAAGAACATGGCAATTCCCGTCTGCAAAGAAACCAAGTAAGGGCAATTTTATTGCTTTGAAATAATACGTGGCATTATTTTGCATGTTTTCAGATTTTAATTGTTTATAAAAAAAAATACTAAATAAATTAACAAGAAAGAGTTTAATATTGTTAAAATTTGTTAAAAGGCAATATCTAAAATAAATCGTTTTTTTTTTCTTAGTCATTCGACAATTACGAAGGAAATAAATTTAATGTTTTCCCCTAAAAATTGATTTGTCAAGAATTTTTGTCTATTTTTTCATACAACTCACAAAGTAAAATATTTCAGTAAAAAGGCCACTATCAATATGACACCGATCAAATTAAAGGAGACGATAACCACAGCCAGAGTAGTCGTATCGTCCTCCATATTGTCTTCTCCTGAACGTGAAAGTGAAAGCAACATATTAATGACAGCTTTGTTCAATTACTTGAAAGAAAAAAGAATAAATATGATTTTGTCAAAGTCTTAAAGTCTTTAATCCATCCATCCATCCATCCATCCTTAAAGTGTACTATGAAAAACATATCACAGTTCAAAAACTGAATGATATTTTCCTCCTCTGCATTTTGTTTGTACTTTGAATATGTAAAATACGTATATTTTATTCTATATCTTCTGAAGAACAGTCGGAGATGAATGAATTGTTGTCTCAACAAATTAATGAATTTCCACCACATGTCAGTAAGTCTAGCGAGGAAACTACTTTTCTTTACTTCTTGTTTTTTCAGTACCAAAGTTATATAATGGGAATTCATTTACTAAAATGATCTACAGTATCAGACTAATATATTTTTTTTTTATGCAGACGTGGTGTCCGTGTGTGTTTGACTGCAGTCCCTTCCTCTGTATATAATACTGCAAAATGTACATGTTATTAGGGAAAATAATGAATTACATCAAGGATAAAAGGGCTCTGTCGACCATAGATTTTGTTTGTTAGGAGTATGAATTTCTCCCTTAAAGGGTGGTTCATTATCTCTTAATGTAAATATACAACACTGATGGTCGTTTTTTTCCCAATTTTGTCACTATTATATTTTTAAAAAATGCTGCCATGGACTTAAGTACCCCAAAAATCTAACTTCTAAGCAAATCGGGAAAATTGATCTTTATTTATCAAGGGCACGTGCTTAAAAATGGATGATTAGTATAATTTTTGGATGTAATTCAGTTGTAAATGATGCGTTTTAAAAATCAATTTCTAAAATAGACTTATTTTGATGTTCAAATTTCTCCTTTTCCAAATCACCCTTATAAATCTGAACATTTTTTATCACCATAAAGACGGTCATTGAGAACCTTAAAAAAACTTTGCAGCTAAACGTAATACAAGTATTTTACTTACATAAACATATATTTCCGAAGTATTTTCATGATTTTTTTAAGTTTGCTTGTACATGTAACATCAGTTCTTCAAATGATTCCATGGAACACAACAACACAATTTTCTACTGGAGAGAATACAATTAATAACTTACCTTTTTGACTTGTGCTGTTGTATTTCTTAGTGGGAGGAGCTACACAGGTTCCACTTTCTCCTATTGTTTAAAATTTATTATTAAAACAAGATTGTAATTTTGCTTTCATTTGAAAACAAGCGACGAAAAACTCGGTGAATTGAAATGCAGGTAAGTTTACTGCTTTTAAAAAATAGTTACTTAGTTGTGGTAATATATTATAACAGGTATAAGTAAAAGTATAATTCTTTTCAAGGAATCACCAAAGCAATATCTCTCGTCAATTTCCGTTGCAGGTAATAGGCAGTAGGCTATGAATGTGCTGCAGTTCTGTATTCTAATATCATAGGTTTTATCACAGCAATGCGTCACTCTTCTTCCCCGTCTACAAACGGTTCTGTTTACAGCACCATCTGATTCAATTGGTATAGTTCCTAATTCATATTTAAAACAAATCATTGGTAAATAATATGTATTTTCAACAAATCAATATGTTGATACAATATCCTGTCCGTATGATTGACATCAAGCACAAAATGCACACAAAAAATGTTAATTCATTAAAAATAGGAAAGAATATTGTACTCACCATTTAACCATAAGGGATACACTGCCCCACATTCCAGTAGCTCTGGACAGTGTGTTAGCATGCTAACATTAGACTTGTACCACTTTTGGATTACGTTTTGATCACTTAAGTTATAGGTAGAGTTATAAATGCAGTTTTGTGAACGTGAGTAATCTTCAAACAGTGGCGAAGAACTTGCAGTTGAGCATATGTCTATGCAACAAAAAAACGACCATTAGACATTTAATAATCTAAATTCTGTTTTTACATTCATCAATATATTTTAATTTTTGTTAGTTTTATTTGAAAATATCAATCTCTATGTTGTCCAACAGATATTCAGATATAACAATGAAATCACTCTTACCTGAGACTTCATCGCATGGGGACATACAACCTTAAACAGGATATATTGAATGGAGTCATTTGACAAATCACTTTGTAAAAATCATTTCTAGTCTTTGAACAATAAAAATGGTGAGCATAGACTAAAATTTTGAATTATGATCCTTTAAAATATTATTAGACATACCAACTGCTCTGCATAATGTTGTTATAACCATCAATACTGGAACTACTCTCAATGTCGCCATTTGATCTAAAAAAGATGTTGAACTTTACCCTTTTCATGTCATGATTTAAAGATGATAGAAACTAGCTCTTTCTTTAGACCCCCACCCCCCAAAAAAGAAATTTTATCTTACGTTACAAATTCAATAGTTAACCTTCGCTTAAAATCCTGTTATTCCACATCGTTGAATTTACATCCTGTTTATAAAAGTGATCTGTTATTGATCTGTAACTATAGTAGCAATCGGCATGTATTGGCCAGAACTGATAACAGGTGGATTTAAATACCAATGAAGCGTGGATCGGGAAATGTCGACTGATTTCTCCTGTCACTATCATTTCAATCTTGTATAAAACATCCATTATATTTATTTATTCATATGTTGTGCTTTCTGCTTAGTTTATAACCACATGAGTAATTATTGCTATTGTTAAATCTCTACTGTTTGTAAACCTTTTTTCTTCATATTGTAGCAAATTCATATTATTCATCCTGTACAAAACTGATTTCTTATATTATAATAATAGTTCCGTATTATTTCTTCTAATAGAGTTCACTTCTTAGTTTAAATAATAATTATAGCCTTAAGTTACAAGCTGAGTTATCATTATAAAGAACATTTTATTACAGCAAAATAAATTTTAATAATTGCTGTTTTGTTTTTCAATTAAGTACTAAACATATAGAATAAATTTATCACAAAAAATTCAAATACTTTCCAACGTGTACACTTGTATCATGCCGATAAAAGATCAATTCAAATAATCGGATTAATATATTTACAATAATTAATCTAAGAGACTAGGATCTGTCTTGAAGTGAGTAAACTTTTCGGAGGAAATCATACCTGGTCATATAATTCTGAATGCCACAATTCACAATATATAACTTGATAAAACTCACTTCCTATTTACAAAACGGGAAATGCTAAAGCGCTCCTATCACTTTAAAATGTACTTCATACATGTCAATATATTAGAGCATTGGATATACATGGTAATATCGTATTGCTTGCAAATTTATTTTTGAGATCCTTGTATGCTGTTGATAATATGTGCATTTACCTTTTTGCCAATTTTTAATTGTAGGTTTCTTTTATAAGGTGGCAAGTTTATTATCCCAATCATTTAAATGATATGACTTCATTCATTAATGTAATATCTATTTAGGAGACTATAATAAGCTGTAATTTTTAGACATTAATTTTGCTGTAGAAGTTAGATATATAAAATATTATTTTATAATAGAATGTAATTTCAACAAGAATCCTATTTACACTAGACCCGGCCCCTTGGACATACTTGTCACTTTAGCATACATTATATAACATATTTGAATTTTTGTTACCATAAAAATGTGCTTTAATGATGTCAGTAATTACCTTAAACTTTTATGATCAATAACTATAACTAAGTATTCACTGGTACTTGTATCAGTTTGTTTCCTAATCTACAGAAGAAATTAATGTTGCACTTATCAGAGCATGCAAGTTAATTAAATATTTTTAAAAAAAAGAAGAAATTATGATATCATAAATTTTTACTTATTTGAACTATTTCTGCGAAGAAAAACGGCGATTGAATTTTATATTTATTTTTAATTTTATTCTTTACAATGACACGATATCTGTTTTATGCGATGAAATGATTATGTTATTCTCTGAAAAGTAGAAAAACGTATTAAACTTAAATGTTTCTGTAGTATATGATGTAATAGTAAAATGATATTAAATTCCTAAAAAGTTTTTCCTAATCAATGTAGAAATCAGTTGAATGATCGATTTTTAATTGTTCTTGAATGTCAATTTTCAACATAGCGAACTACAGTTACTATTTTAAATACCGTATAAGTGGAATTTTTAGCAAGACGCAAATTTAGCGATTTGTCCTTAAAAACCAGTATTTAATTTTAGCGAGAAGTAATTTTGGCGATTTTATAATGCATAGAAAGTTAACAGTAAACTCTAATGCGGAATAAATTGTTAGCGATATTTAATTTTAACGATCCCAACTCCCTCGCTAAAAATGCCAAAATTGAATCCTCGCTAAAATTTCTGCTTATACGGTAGTTAAAAAACAAATCTGTATAATAAAATGATTTTTAAAAGATTTTCTAGCACTGTTCAGATAGTCCTTGTTTATTTCAGAGCACGGTAAGGCTAAAAAACATAACATATCCAGTATTACGAGGGTCATTCAATAAGTAATGCAACATACAGTTTATCATAACAAATGTAGAAGTAATTAATTTTATTTTTTTAAAAGTTGAAAAGTTCTATTAAAGAACGCCTAATCACAGAAAAAACCCATACTTTTTCCTATTGTTGTCGCAAAGGAATTCAATTTTAAAGTAAGCATGGTCACTACACTGCGCTGAAAACTGTTTAAAAATTATCTCTGCCAAGAAGATGAGAATGAGGGCGTTTCTGAAAACTGTGCTTCATTACATAAATAGTTGTGGAACCGTATTAAAGATATTATTTTGATATGTGGAAAGACTAGTCTTTCAAGCTGTTAAGTTTTCAAATAGATTCGGAAATTCAAAAGTTTTTTGTTTGTTTGTTGTTTAACGTCTCTCTCGAGAATTTTTCACTCATATGGAGACGCCACCACTTGCCGGTGGAAAGCTGCAAATTTTGTCCTATACTCGGCACTTACGGCCATTGAGCAGTGAGGGGTCTTTTTCGTGCCAGCACCTACTGTGACAAGGGACCTCGCTATATACGGTCTCATCCGAAGGACCGGTCTCCACGTCCCACAATGGGATTCGAACCCGCGACGTAAGGATCAACTCCTTACTCCGCAACTCTAGAACAGACGCTCTAACCACTGCAGCACGCGGGCGACGAAATTCAAAAGTTAAAATGTACAATTAAAAGATCGCAGTTAAGCTGGTCGATCGAAATCTGTAGGTCCACCAAAAATATCGATGCTGTGAACAACACGATATCTAAAAATGCCAGATTTACATTGATAGACATTGCTAAGACACGAAACATTTCATCGTCACAACAGTTCATAGAGTTCTGAGAAATGAAATGAATCTAACAATAATTCTATCAGATGGGTGCCTTATTTCCATGCAAATGCCTAAGAGAAAGCATACGATAAATGTGCCAATGGTCTATTTAAAAATAAACATTTTCACAAAAAAGAAGATTTGATAAACTTGAGTGATGGATAAAGAAACATGAGTGTACTTTTTATAGCCGAAAAGGAAGAATAAGAAAAAAAAATGTGATATCAAAGAGAAAGATGTCGTCCTATTATTGCAAAGAGAAGCAAGGGCTCCAAATATGTTTTATTAATTTTCATTTTATTCAAGAAATCCAGTAAAACATGTACATACAGCCAAAGGAAGGACTATCAATGGAAACTTTTATGATAAAATTTCAATCAAAAAAATTTAGCAGATTTCCTGCAAAGCACGTTCAAATACCGGTCCCTAGAGTATTTTTCCTGTATTTGACAACGCTGCTGCAAATAAGCATAGAGAAATAAATTAAATTTTGAAGAAAGGAAAATTTACAGAGCTTAGCCATCCCTCATATTCGCTAGATCTCAGCCATTGTGAGATATTTTTCTTCCAAAAACACATGAAAGCAATCAAAAGAAGACTTTACAATTTCATGTATATCATGGAATGTGCTATTCATCAGTGTCTTTATGACATCCCTAAAGATGAGTATGCTGACGTTTTCTGGTCATGAGTAAAAAACATTAGGCATGTGTAATGTTCACATGGAATGCTTTGAGGTATTGAAAGTATTTACAATTTACTTTACTTGCTTTTCCTATTTTAAGATGACCTTTTGCATTATCTATTGAACGACCCTCGTATTAAAATATTTTGTAAAACATAAAATGATAATGTTCATAGACTTATTCTGCAAAATATTTATGTCTTTTCCCATCTTTAAGAACATAATATGTTAACATTTGTGTTTGTCATATTCTGATCATTTAACCCTATATTGAATGTTATAATATTTGTTTCCTAAAATAAAGGCATTTTCTGTATTTTTCAGCTTCATTCTACGTTAAATATCATATGTACTTTGACAGTACTCCTTAACATCATCAGACTAGTGATTTTATACAGTCAATGCAACATTGTTTTTACCACAATCATTCATTCGCCTTCTATCCCTAATCCACCTCAGTCTTCCTCATCTAAGGACTTTGGTTTTTTTTCATTAAAAGGTCACTTTCCCTTTGAATATTTTACTGAAAGAGTACTGTATTCGTATATTTTGCAGCATATATGATTTATATGAAATCATTAAAGTTAATATTTAAATATGCACGAGTATGTGGCTCTGTTTAAAAAATTAAGTTTCTGTGAAACCATATGTTTTGATTGAGGGAGTGTTTCTTAGACTATTTCAAACTTCTATTATTGTATACCTTTACGGTGCATAATGATACTTTTTCTGAAGTCTTTGGAGTCCTTTAAGGAGGTTGAATCCTGTTATAAAAAGTATTGAAATTTTTTTTATCAAATATATTTTTAGAATCTATACACATAGCTTTATTAAAAATTAAAACCAAAAATGGGGGTCAATGCGCTTCATTTAATATGACCTTTTTGCACTGCAATTACGTCTAACACATAAATAAATAAAGTTTTCAAAGTTTTTCCTTTAATATTATTTATCCAAATAAATTATGGGAACAAACAAAATCTTTTTTCGTCTTCAATAGTCTATTTAAAATTTGTGACAACAAAAAAGTTTCAAATTACTTCGCATAGTCAAGTATTTGACCTTTTTGCACTCAAGAAATGTCATTCTTCTGGCATAAAAAATTTAACAAGCAATAAATTCATTTGAAAGTAATGCCATTTTTCTGAATTTAAGCAGAATGGTTAAAATTATCTCGTATATTCAGAAAATAAAATTAAAAGTGAGGGTCTGTGATGTTAATTTTTAAATATAATTAAAATATGTTAATTTCTAGCTTAAAATGGGCTATTTTTTCCCCAGGACTTTCACAATATATTTGCCATATTTGTCCAATATGATAATAGAATTCATGCCGATTAATTTAATGTATTGATTAGGAGGACCAGCATAAAACATTACACTACACAAAATAACTCTCATGCAGGCTGCATGTAAAAATATGAATCCAAACTTAATAATACTGTAAATATTTCGAAAGAGAAAAATTGATCATTTTCTTCTGTAAAACC